AGAACACGCGTCTCCGGCCAAGAAGCATGGAGATTTTAATAGTGTATTTAGCCACTAGTAACTACACTAAAGTTGTTGCTGCATTACTGATATTATTTTAATCTAACGGTTAAGAACTCATATTCTGGAGTCAGAGAGACCTAAGTCTGAATTTCAGCTCTGCCCTGTAGTAGCTGTGTGAAAGTTATTTCCTACTTATACACAAGAAGGCTCAGTTTCCTCATCTGTAATGTGGAAATGATAATACTGAACTTACAGATAACTTGTTAAAATTAAAGGAGGTAATACATTCAAAAGCACTCAATGCAATGCCTGGCTCATAAAATATACATTACCTTAGTAATGATAATCCTTCTGGACCAGGCATCAAATTAAGCGGTTTTTTGCATTATTTCATGTAATCTTCACAGCTATCTGACATAGTTCACATCAAAACCCACTCCCCCCATCCCCACCTTGCTTCTTTACAAGTAGAAACTGAAATTACAACTGAAAACCTCGGCTAAGGTCCCACAACTATATGAACTATCAAAGCCAAGATGCTGACCAGCTCTGACAGACTCAGAAGCCCAGGGTTTGAGCCTATCTGCTGGAGAAGTCAGTACATTGCTGGCTCAGTGCTCACCAGGCCCGCCGCATGGCCCACTGCTACCGTTTTCTTTAGATCAGATGACAGATCACTAACCCAGACCGCTCATCCTCTTTCCCAGGGGGCTTAAAATAGAGGGGGTGGGGTTGAAAAGTTTGCTTATTATTTGTTATTACTGTTAACCTCTCTGACCATTCTATTTAGTTTACATTCACTGCAATTAGATATTTGAGAATTGAGTTGTATTTGCATCAGGATAACAGTAACAGTAAAGCTTTATTCATAAATACAGGTTAAGAACTGAAGAGAACACCGGGTCTGCTGAATCACACACAACAAATGACATCAGCCTTAAATATACTATTCAGTCATAAAAACCAATCGAATCACCTGATAATCCAATTTTTAAATTATTAATCGAGATTGTTTAGATGAATATTGTAATTAGACATTTATAGTAATTACGATAAATTACTTGAACTTTTTTTTAAGTAACAGCTTTATTGAGATCTAGTTCAGATACAAATTCACACTTGAACATTAAGACTTTTCCCTAGCCTTGTTTCTTTTTTAAAAGGTCCTGTTAAAGAAACACAACTTTTGGGGCGCCTGGGTGGCTCAGTCGTCAAGCGTCTGCCTTCGGCTCAAGTCATGATCCCGGGGTCCTGGGATCGAGCCCCGCATCGGGCTCCCTGCTCGGCAGGAAGCCTGCTTCTCCCTCTCCCACCCCCCCTGCTTCTGTTCCCTCTCTCTGTCTCTCTCTGTCAAATAAATAAATAAAATCTTAAAAAAAAAAAAAGAAAACTTTTAAAGTCAACATACTTCTTTTAATGACACCTATCTTTAATAGGTTTTCATCAGAGATAAATGAATTTTTTTACTGTGGCTTCTCAATGACTAAAATTTACTGTTATTGCTATAGGTTAGTGGCGCATTCAGCCGATTTCCAAAGAAATGAGTCAAGTTACCAGCACTCAACTTTTCACATCGCACTACCGTGAAATTCAGCGGCACAAACAACAGTGAACTACGGTTTAAACACTGAAAGTCCTGCGTGGGAAAGTAGATGGCTTAAGACAAGCGGTACGTTCTCGCTAGCAAACAAATTCGACGATCAAGCCAGAGGAGGGGTGGGGAGGGGCTTCCCTCCGTGGCCCTGCTCCGGCAGGCGTGCTCCACTGTCCTCGGTCCCTCCCCCGGCGGAGACCGGACCCGGGTCCCCGCTCCAGGTGGGCGCACCTCGACCGCACGGAGGCCGCCCCCTGCCGCAGGGGCAAGGGGAGGGCCGGCGCCCAGGGCCAAGAAGAGTTCCCCTGCTGCACCAGCCACGCGAAGAGCGCCCGGGAGGAGCGGCTGCAGCAGCCCGCGCGGGCCAGGGGGACGCCGGGCCGGCCGCGGCCCGGACTCCGGACTCCAGCCGCCGACCACGGCCCCCCAGCGCCCCCCCCACGACTCCCGCCGCTCTCAGAGCCGGCGCGCCCCCGGGCGGCCCCGGCTCCCGTCCCCTGGCGCCCGCGTCCCCGCCCCCACCCCCGGACGCCCCCCGCCGGCCCGCCCCCCGCGCCGGGACGCCCGCCTGCGCCGCGGGCCGAGGGGGGGCGCGGGGCGGCCCGCTAGGCTCCTCAGCTCCGGCTCGGCGCTCGGGCCCTGGCGCCGCGGCGCGCCCCTCCTGGAGGAGGAGGAGGAGGAGGAGGAGGAAGGCGGCGGGAGGAGGAGTTGCGGGAGAGGAGGGCCGAGCGCGGCAGTCGCGCCGGCGCGGGGCGAGGAAGCGGAGCGGGCCGCCGCCGGGTGAGCGTCTGCGAGCCGAGCCGGGGCTGGGGCTGGGCTTTGCGTTCGGCTCCCTCTCGTCCGTAACCCGGGAGGCTGGCCGCGGGGGCTGCTGCTCCGCTCGGGGCGGCGCGCGCTGCGCTGGGGGGCCGCCCGGCGCGCCTGCAGCCGAGGGTCCCGGCGGCGCGAGGCCCCGGCCGCCTCGGCGGTCCGCGGGCGGGGGCCGGCCGGCGGGGAAGCGGCGCCCGGGAGGCCGGGGAGGGCCGAGGCCTGCTTCCGCCGAGCGCCGGCCCGACCCCTCGGCCTCCCCGTCCGCGGCGCGCCGGGCCGGGCCTCCGCCTTTGTTGCCCGCAGCCCCGCCGGGGAGAGGCCGGGGCTCGGCGAGGCCTGGGGCGGCGGCGGCGCGGGGCCTGCGCGGCTCGCGCCCCGCCGGCCGGCCCTCGGGCTCCGGCTCGGGCTGCGGGGCGGGGGCCGGAGGGCGGGCGGGCTCGGGAGGCCCAGGCCGCGTCGGCGCCGCCGCCGCCCGCCGCCCGCCGCCCGCCGGGAGGTCGCGCCGGGCCCCCGTGTGCGCCGCGCGTGGCGGTGCCGCTGGGCGTGATTGGCCCCCGCGGAGGTGGGCGCTGCGGGCGTTTAAACTGCCCCGGAACGAGACGGGCCTTAGTCCTCGGTCTGCTCAGGACTTGGCAACTGCAGGGACACCGTTGTGGCTCATTTGCAGCGCAGCTATTGACATGTGTCGGCGGCAGGTCCTGGCACAAAACTTGGACGGTGTGCGGCGGGCTGGCGCCGACCTCGCGTGCAGTCGGAACGCGAAACCTGGGGTTCCCGTCCCCGCGTCTTGGGATTAAGGGCCAGGCGGGAGTCTGCGACAAAACCCCGGCTTCCGGGAACGAAATAGGTAATGCGGACCTCAGCTCGGCGTCTGCTGCTCGGACCAGACGCCCGGCCCGCATGGGGCCGCGCGCTCCTGTGTGTGTGTGAGGACGGGGAGCGCAGCCGTCACAGCGGAAGCGGGAACGGGACGCCGCGCGGGTCCCCGGCGCGTTTTCAGTCGCCTCGTCACCTGGGGTACGGACACGTGGGCCGTCAAACAGAAGCCCGCCGCCGCCCTCGTCGAGACGAAAGGTCTGAGGTGCTGCCCCCACAGGCGGCGTGAATTTACCTTGACTTTTAAAAACCCGGCCAGGAACGCGGAATCCACTTGGCTCATCCGAAGGAGTGAATTTTAGGCGGAACGCGTAGCGCCGTGGAGAAGCGTCGTGGTTGAGAAACATCAGCGGGGTTCGCCAGGTTTCACGGATAAAGCAGGGAAGGGCGGCCTGTGCGACTTCCTTCTCCCGTGTGCCGCCTCCTGGTTTTTCCTCACGGCCGTACCGTCTCCGTGGACGCGGTGACTCTGAGACGCTGTCTCTGTTCTGAACACAGGATATGCCGCCTCAGCCCCTCGGGCCCAGTGGCCTCCCTGACGTTCCCTCCTTGCCTTCGGGGCGGCTGCCTCGCGGACCGTCCACTTGATAACGGTTCTCAGAAGGACTTACGGGCTGGGGTTGGGCAAGTGCTTTCCACTGTCCGGTCTGGTTGAGGATGCGCCTTTCCCCTTTTAGGTCTCAGTTCAGCATCTCTTTTGAAATACTTCCCCCCCCCCTTTTTTTTTTTAAAGATTTTATTTGACAGAGAGAGAGAGACAGCGAGAGAGGGAACACAAGCAGGGGGAGCGGGAGAGGGAGAAGCAGGCTTCCCGATGAGCAGGGAGCCCGATGCGGGGCTCGATCCCAGGACCCTGGGACCATGACCTGAGCTGAACGCAGATGCTTAACAAGTGGGCCACCCAGGCGCCCCTGGGTCTTTACTCTTTTTTTTTTTTTTTTTTTAAGATTTTATTTATTTATTTGACAGAGAGAGAGACACACAGCGAGAGATGGAACACAAGCAGGGGGGAGTGGGAGAGGGAGAAGCAGGCTTCCGCTGAGCAGGGAGCCCGATGCGGGGCTCGATCCCAGGACCCTGGGATCATGACCCTAGCCGAAGGCAGACGCTTAACGACTGAGCCACCCAGGCGCCCCTCCCCTTTATTATGACCTTTAAATGCCTTCTAAATTGGTGGGAGGTACCTGGCACTGCCCCTTCCCCTTCTTTTAGTGGGAAGATAGGGCCGGCCTTCAAGGCCTCCCCAGAAGCCAGGGGCACACCCTCGGGTGGCACGTGGCGCCCTGCCAACGCAGCACCTTGCAGGGAGTGCTGGAGAAGGGGTTTGGGTGACCTTGACCTGGGACATAGCCTTCCTGGGCTCTGCCATGACCTGGGAGGAAAAGCTCTGCTGTGCTGACTGGATTCCTACCCATTTTGCCGTCCGATTGACTATTCCTTTTAACGGCCCTCTTTCTGGGGAACAGAAACAAGTGTCTGCTTATGTCTTGTTATGTAACTTCACTCCTCAGAGAAAACTCTGGTAGTTTTCTCCATTGTGGTCAGTTTTCAGGAAACTTCTGTTATTAATAGCAAGTATCTTCGGGGCGCCTGGGTGGCTCAGTAGGTTGGGCGTCTGCCTTCGGCTCAGGTCATGATCCCAGGGTCCTGGGATGGAGCCCCACATGGGGCTTCTTGCTCGGCAGGGAGCCTGCTTCTCCCTCCCCTCTGCCTACAGCTTCTCCTGCTTGTGCTCTCTCTCTCACTCTTTCTCTCTCTGTGTGTCAAATAAATAAATAAAATCTTAAAAAAAGCAAGTATCTTTTATTTTGCTCATAGAAGTAACTGTGTGATCTTATTTAAGAGTCAATATAGTCTGAAAAAAGAAAGTATGTCCATTTCTGAATTTGTGGCAATTACTGTTCTCTCAAAAATACGCAGTCATGTGGAATGGGTTGATACACAAATATGTTGAATATGAAGTCAGATAACCCCATGTTATTTATATATAGTATAACTAGTGGATGTGTGTGCATTGATTTTAATACTCAATAGCGGTAGGTAGGTAAGTAAGTGACCTAAGCTAATATCACTGTTTGCTATTTTGTTTGTTGCATCTTTTATGGGAAGTGAAGATTATTTCAGTTCTTGGTCCTCATCCCTAATCTTTTTCCAGTTTTGAAAATGGCACATCTGTGGTGCCTGAGTATTTCTGTAAAATTACTCCTTTTACAAGGGAGAAATTTATAAAAACTAGTGTATGTCATAAAAAGGGGAACTTTCTTGTATGACTAGATTGATCGAAAGAGTAGTTCAGACAGTAAAAACAAAACAGCATTGGGACATGTTTTAAATTGTATCGACAATGAAACTGTCATTAATGTTTTTGTGGTTAATCTGTTATTCTGTAGAGTAGGTTGGTTTAGCTAATAAGTAGTGAAGGCTTTAGAACTAAGGGCACATTTTACTTTAAACTGACTTCAGTTTCTGATGATGCATACAAACATTAAATTTTACTGAATGGGGCAATTATTTTTAGGTGGCCGTTGGTCTCATTGATGTTTCAAGAATGGATGTACTCAGATAAAGTCCTTTAAGATTTGAATTCTCGTGTTGCATACTGAGGACCTTTTGGAGGTGTTTGATCTTTAGTATACATTACTAGCTTTGTGACCTTGAACACATTTTTTTTTTTTAAGATTTTATTTATTTGACAGAGAGAGAGACAGTGAGAGAGGGAACACAAGCAGGGGGAGTGGGAGAGGGAGAAGCAGGCTCCCCGCGGAGCAGGGAGCCGGATGTGGGGCTCAATCCCAGGACCCTGGGATCATGACCTGAGCCGAAGGCAGACGCTTAACGACTGAGCCACCCAGGCGCCCCTTAAACACATTTTTTTAAAGATTTATTTATTTATTTGAGAGAGAGAGAGAGAAACAGCATGAGAGGGGATAGGGTCAGAGGGAGAAGCAGGCTCCCCGCTGAGCCGGGAGCCCGATGTGGGACTCCGTCCCAGGACTCCGGGATCATGACCTGAGCGGAAGGCAGTCGCTTAACCAACTGAGCCACCCAGGCGCCCCGCCCCTTAAACACATTTTATATCCCCTCTGAGTCTTACTCCTTTTGTGGGGCTCAAGTGAGGTTAATAAATCCACCTGACAGACTTATTGTGAATATATATTTTGTTTAAAGTAAAATCCAAACTCTCCACCATGGGCTACAAGATTTCTGCCCAGTTCTTTCGTTCATCTTGAGCAACCCTGTCTTCCTCACCACAAAGTTACCCTCTAGCCTTTCTATTCCCTCACATTCCAGGCTGCTTCTGGCCTCCTCACCTTTGACATGTAGTTGTTTGCCTAGAATGTCGTTCTTATGGTTGGTTCATTGTCCGATCTTAATGCCAGGTTCACTGCATCAGAGAAGGCTTTCCTGACTACTCTTATAGCTCCTTCAGGAGCCCCATCTTACCAGTTTGTATGTTTTCATCATAATGTTTACTGCAGTGTATAACTATTTTGTTTATTTCTTTTGGTCTTTCTCCTCTTCCAAGTCCCACATGGGCAGAATGTGGTCTGTGGTTCTCTGTCTCCCTAACACATCCCATGGGGACATGGTGTACAGAAAGTGCTTGTAGTTTTTACATTGTTATCTACACACTAAAGGCAAGGATTTGCTGTGTAGATGGTAGAAATCTGTTGGTTTTTTTGTGTTGCTCATTGCCATCTGAGCTGATCTGCTCAGCTGAGTAAGTCATGGCCCTAATAAGGCCAACATTCTTGTAACTTCAGGGCCCAAGTCACCCTACACAGGGAGAGCTTTTTTTTTTTTTTAAGTCAGCTCTACTCCCAGCATGGGTCCCAAACTCATGACCACAAGATCAAGAGTTGCTCTACTGACTGAGCCAGGCAGGTGCGCCAGGAACTGTCTTTACCTGTAGAGCCAGAATGTGGGTCTGAGCTCATTCAAGTGTCCAGCTGTCCAGTCACGAAGATGCACAGGCATTCATCACTTCTGGAAGAGTAGTTATCTATAGTGTGTGGAGAGTAACAACTCCAAAGCACACTTCCCTTGATGTTAGCGCACATAGCTTGATAAGGTAAACCCTTCGTTGTCTGGAAGCCCTGGCATTCTCAGTTATGTGATGCAGAATTCAGCAGGAGGGAAAAACCTCATTTGGAATCAGTCAAGTAGGAGGCCTAGATAGCTAACTGGCTGATGAAGGCAGTCTTTCATAGGGATGTGGATCGAGGTTTGAATTTCAGCTCTGTGACTTTATAGGGTAGGTTTTTAAAATAAATTCTGTCTTATTTGCTTTATCTGTAAAATGTAATAGTGCCTTTCTCAGCATTGTTGTGGAAATTAAACAAGAAAATGTACATAAATGTATGGATTCAGTGCCTGGAATATAACAAATGCTAATATTAATATCAGTTTAGGGGCATCTGGGTGGCTCAGTTGGTTAAGCATCTGCCCTCAGCTCAGGTCATGATCCCAGGGTCCTGGGATTGAACCTGCTCATAGGGGAGCCTGCTTCTCTCTCTGCTGCTCCCGCTTCTTGTGCTCTCTCTCTCTCTCTGTCAAATAAATAAATAAAATCTTTAAAAAATATAATCAGTTTAAAATATACTGTGATTGGTTAAAAAGAGCATTCTGGGTAATCAGTACCAGGTATATAAGACTTGCTTTTTCTTTCTTTTTTTTTTAAGATTTTATTTGAGAGAGAGTGTATGTGAGAGATCACAAGCGGGGGATCTGCAGAAGGAGAGGGAGAAGCAGGCTCCCTGCTGAGCAGGGAGCCCGATGCAGGGCTCCATCCCAGGAGTGAGATCATGACCTGAGCCGAAGGCAGACACTTAACCAACTGAGCCACCCAGGCGCCCCAAGACTTGGTTTTTCTTAAGGAAGCCCTGTGTGGGGAAAGGGTGTAAGACCAAAGGGACAAGAAAAATGAAAATAAAAGAGGAAAGACAGAGCTCACAGAAGTATTAATGGTGCCAGCTACTAGGATCGTGAGGGTTACAGATGTGAGCAGCTATTGAGTTGCTTGGCACTGGGTCACTGCAGTCAGTTGGTGGGAGATGTAGAACAAAAAAGGTGCTGCACTTGGCCTTCTGCAAAGCTCCAGGCTCTTGTTTTCATACTGTTGTAATATATATATTTTTAATCACTGTTAACAGCCATCACACTGAAATGTTTTCTTAAAATTATTAAAAGGGCATCACACTTGGAGACTATGTTTGGGGAGCAGTGGCTATCCCGTTGTCCTTGGGAGCAGACTGTTGAGTAATAGAGAAGAAAGAAAGAGAAGACGGCGGATCTCTGAAGGCCTGGGACACAAACCATTATCTGAGCATCAGTGAACCTGAAGATGCCATCCTGAAGTTTTTCAACAGGTAAATTTGGTCGTCAAGAGGCATCTGTCTATATATAGCACTTCAGTGACAGCATGAGATTATATTTGATATACACGTTTGTGTTTAAGGTTTCCCTTTTAAGAGAACAGAGGAATATATGGCTCCCAATGGGAAAGATGTTCATCAAAAACAATTTTAAGAATTTGATGTTATTCTTTAGAACGATTTAGAAAAGGTGTATTCACGTGCTCTAGATAGCCTGTTATTTGGAACTGCTAATGGTTGTTCTTTTTTTTTTTTTTTAAAGATTTTATTTATTTATTTGAGAGAGAGAGAGAGCATGAGAGGGGGGAGGGTCAGAGGGAGAAGCAGACTCCCTGCCGAGCAGGGAGCCCGGCTAATGGTTGTTCTTATAGTGATAGGTGTTATTTTGAGTACCCCAGTAACATTGGATGGTTGAAGCAACAGGGTTAATACACCAGTAAAGTAAGATGAATTCTCAGTGGTATACTGTTACTTTGCATGATTTTCCTTTTGCGAATTTTGGTGTTTATAGTAATGAGATCTTTCTTAGTAAAGCTTAATTTTGGTTTTAAAGGAAATAATCATCCCTATGATAATAGTCACTTTTATCTGTTGACAACTGCTTTTGAAAAAGTGAAAAAAATGTACTTAGGGAATATTATTATTACCAAATGTCACAGACTGTTGGAATATGTAAGCATGTCACACACATAGAATTATTTTAGGATTTTAGTAGTTTTGTGCATTTGGAAAATTACTGCATTTTAGAATTAGAAGGAAGCTTCTGATTATTGACCAGCTTCATCCTTAGGTAGATAATGGGGAAAGTGAGACTAAGGGTGGTTAAGTAATCGGCCCAAAGTCACATACCACAGTACTAGTAGATTTTAGAGTGGAGTCTGATGTGTGCAGCTCTTCTTGTGGATGCAGGATGTTTTCATTTACTCCTGGGAGGTGGGGAATTTGGATTTGTGTCTTCATGGAGGCGGTCACAGTTGAGCTGGCTCTTGGAGGGTGACCTGTGTTTGGGAAGAGCCATAAGCGGCAGGGACAGTATCTCAAACAGGCCGAACAGCAGGAGCCTTAATATTAACCTAGAGATCCTTTTTTTTTTTTTTTAAGATTTTATTTATTTGACAGAGAGAGGCACCAGTGAGAGAGGGAACACAAGCAGGGGTAGTGGGAGAGGGAGAAGCAGGCTTCCTGCGGAGCAGGGAGCCCGACGTGGGGCTCGATCCCAGAATCCTAGGACCACGACCTGAGCTGAAGGCAGACGCTTAATGACTGAGCCACCCAGGTGCCCCTAACCTAGAGATTCATTTCTCCTCTTTCCTAACTGAGGTTACCTGTATTCTGTTTCTTACTTTACTTCCTTGATTTAGTGGAGCTCATTCTCCTAGTAACTTCCTGAAAAAGGTGGTGGGGTTGTTGTGTTTTTTGTTTTGTTTTGTTTAGACCTTGTCAGAAAACATGTATGTTCCAAATATCTAATTTACAGTCTGGGAACTTGCTGGTGTAGTACATTGGTAAGTGTCTAGACAGGTATAAAAATGTATATATTAAACATTTAATATGCATATACCTCATAGACAGTGATGTACTGGTATATAGGTGTGCTACCCTTTTTTTTTAATATTTTATTTTTTAAGTAATGTCCACACCCAGTGTGGGGCTTGAGCTCACGACCTAAGATCAAGAGTCGCATGCTCCACCGACTGAACCAGCTAGTCACCCCAAGTGTTCTACTTTCTAAATCTACTTTTTAAATTTTTAAATGTTAAAGTCTGAATTAAAAAATTAAGGAGGAGTGAATTTATTTCATTAATCAATTCTTATTTAAGCCAGCTCCCTTAACATTTTAAATAATTGGATTTGTGAACATTTTCATATTTAACTTAATAGAGATGTATTGAACACAGTTAAAAAGGTGCTTAGAAATGCTCATGTAAAAATTTGTTCTCTGCAGGTTAAATTTCTAAGTCTGCATATTTTTATTTCCCCTGAATCAGATTCTTTAGAATTGGACATGCTTTAGAGATCAGCCTCTTTATTTTATGTGGGAAACAGACTCACCAAGGAGAGATTCACTCAGTGTCACACAGCAAACTAGTGCTACCCTATATTTTTGTGTCAGTAGCCTACAAAGTGGGAGAGAATCAGTTGAAAATTTATTAGAGCTTTTGCTGTAATTATAAATTTATTCTTTTTTTTAAGATTTTATTTATTTACTTATTAGAGCGAGAGCTTGGGCGAGGCGGGGAGAGGGAGAAGCAGGCTCCCCGCTGAGCAGGGAGCCCAATGTGGGACTGGATCCCAGGACCCTGGATCATGGTCTGAGCCGAAGGCAGGTGTTTAACCAACTGAACCACTCCCGTGCCCCTAAATTTATTCTTAATTCATTAAATTTTAAATTACTTGGCAACTTTAAGTCCATTTTTCTTAACTTGGTTATCTTTAAATTTCTTTATCTACCTTTGTAACCATGCAAATAGTCACATTACTTTTTATTTATTCATTTTTTAAAGGTTTTATCTATTTATTTGACAGAGAGAGACATAACGAGAGAGGGAACACAAGCAGGGGGAGTGGGAGAGGGAGAAGCAGGCTTCCCGCGGAGCAGGGAACCCGATGCGGGGTTCTATCCCAGGACCCTGGGATCATGACCTGAGCCGAAGGCAGACGCTTAACGACTGAGCCACCCAGGTGCCCCTCACACTACTTTTTAAAAATAAAGCTTATTGTGTAAGATCTGAAGGCCCTAAAAGAAGTCAAAGTGATTCTATTACATTGACTATTTTCCATTTATTTTTATTTGCATGTAGTTGTCAAAAACTGGAAGGGGTAGGAGGTCGCACCCTCTGCTCAAGCTGTTGCCTTAGCCTGGCAGTTTCCTGGTTGCTGCCAGAAGACATGAGGCTCCTGGGTCAGAGATAAAGGACTTCATTACTCAGGGCACTGTCAGCATTTGTGCCAGTTCCCCGAACACACTTCGTGTTGAGAAGACAACATAGGGGCCAGAGGAGAAAGCAGGGAGACAGATTAGGAGGCAGTTAGGTAACGCGGCCGAGATAGCAAGCACAGTGCGTGGGGCAGTGGTGGCAGCAAGTGGTCGGATTCTGTGTGTACTTTGAAAGTAGTTGAGCCATGACCCTGGACGTGGTAAGTGAGAGAAAGAGGGGAGCCACGGGTGATTGTGGAGGTATTGATCTGAGCAGTTGGAAGAATGGAGTAACCACAGACCTAAGTGGGAAAGGCTGAGAGTGGAGTAGGTGTGGGGCTGGGATGGGAAAGATCCAGAGCTTAGTGCTGAACGTGTGTGGTCTCGGACATCCCTAACACAGTGAATGGCGGTGTCAAGAAGGGAGTTGACTGAAACTAGGCCAATTAAAGATGTGGATTTGGGAGTGGAGGACCCATCAGTGCTATTTCAGGCATGAGAGTGAGTGAAGTCACTGGGGCGTGGGTGTAGATGCAGAAAGAGTGACCCATCGTGAGTGCTGGGGTATCCAGCGTGACGAGATCGGAGGCACAGTAGTCTGAGAATGATGGATCAGCTGTGTCGGGTGCTGTGGACAGAGCATCTCAGGTAAGAACTGAGCATTGATGCTGGATCTGCAGTGGGGACATCATTGGTGACCTTGACCAGAGCAGTTTCTGTTTGATGGGATAGAGAAGGTCTCTGATGTGGGTAGAGGGAAAACGGGAGAAAAGGATTAGTAGGCCTCCAGTATGTATGTTTTTCCCAAGGTGTTTTGTTGCAAAGGGGATTAAAGAGATGGAACCATAGTTGGCGGGGAAGATAGGGTAAAGACAAGTTTGTATATATGAGAAGTGATGTTTTTAGGAGCAATCCAGTACAGAGGGGAACTTGTTGGGATGGGAGGGCCTTTAGAGAGGTGCATGGATCGGTAAAGTAACAGGATGGTTTTGTCCGAAGTTTTCTTCTCATGTCCTAATTATCTCAGTGAAATAGGAAGCTGGGCCATCAGCTGAGATTAAAGATGGGGGGAGTAAGTGTTACAGGTGCGAAGAAAGATGTGGGTTGGTTGACAAGGAATGGGAGAGACTGAATGGATCAGGGAAATGTAGTTGGATTTCCAGGCAGCATTAAGGTTCCAGCAGAGGTTCATGGTCATGACGTTAAGTGAGACCAGGCAGAGTGGTTACATGTTTCTCCAGCCACATTTTCCTGTAAGGGTGCAGGCATGGCGTGGGCAGAGTTGAACTGAAGCAGTGTTGTCGTTTTGCCAAGAGAGTGTTTCAGAGCAAAGTGGGAAAGGGAATTGAGGGTACATGCTAGGGAAGGATTATGACTGAGTGTGGAATGTAAACTGAGTAAGGAGTTAAGAGGATCACTGAAAAGCTGGTGAGTTTATTCTTTTAGAGTTAATATTTACATATTAAGTCTGTATTAATTAACTCTATATTGATATAATACTCACTTAGACTGAATATTTCAGGTCAGACCTGACTGTATATACATAAATCAAAATTAAATGTCACATTGGCAAAAACTTGTTTTGGGTGGGATGAAGAGAAAGAGAAGGCTGCCTAGGTTCTCATTAAAAAAATACAATATCCTGGGGCGCCTGGGTGGCTCAGTCGTTAAGCGTCTGCCTTCGGCTCAGGTCATGATCCCAGGGTCCTGGGATCGAGTCCCGCATCGGGCTCCTTGCTCAGCGGGAAGCCTGCTTCTTCCTCTCCCACTCCCCCTGCTTGTGTCTCTCTCTCTGTCAAAAAATAAATAAAATCTTTAAAAAAAAAATACAATATCCTTATCTATTGATAGATATTTTTGTTCAGTCGTGGTAAAACCAAAAGCCAAGAAAAGGCCTTGTATTTTGCTTTAACTTGAGGGATTTACTCAGCCATTCCCTTTAGAAAAGTAACTTAAGAACAAACAAACTCACAGACCTTTTTCTTATAAAAACGCCATATTTATAGAATATTTAGAAAATAAAGTATTGAGAACAGTATTTACGGAGCATTCTGTGGTCCAGATGGCAGTGCTGCTG